TGGGATCATGACCCGAGCCAAAGGCAGACGCTTAACGACTGAGCCACCCAGGTGTCCCTGTTTGTAGCATTTTTATCATACAGTAGATCCATCCATTCGCTATACTTTTCTGAGTTGTCCTACATGCAAGTACATGTTTTTAATGTTGTCTGTCTTCTGTGCTGTTCCTGTAAGTTTGCTATTAAAATACATCAAACTATAAACAAACAAACAAACAAAAAACACAAGAGTTGACACTTAACCGACTGAGCCACCCAGGCTCCCCTAAGTAATCAATGTTAAGACTACTAATAATTGAACAAACTGACTTCATGTGCCTCCAAATGTGATGCCCAGAGGAGGGCACTATTAATTTGTTAGGTCTGTCATAATAAAGTACCACAAATTAGGTGGCTTAAAAGAACAGAAATGTGTTCTCTCTCATTTCTAGTTCTGGAAGCTAGAGGTCCAAAAGCAAGGTGCCAGCAGGGCCAGGCTTTCTCAGACTTTGAGTAGAATCTTTCCTTGCCATTTCCTAGCTTCTGGTGGTGACAGTCAATCCTAGGCTTGCAGCTACATCACTAAAATCTCTGCTTGTGTCATCACATAGTGTTCTGTCTGCAAGTATCTTTAGATGGCATTTTCTTCTTACAAGGAAAACAGTCACATTGGATCAGGGCCTACTCTAGTGACCTCACCTTAAGTGGATGGTACCTGCAAAGATATTATTTCCAAATAAGGTTATGTTCATAGGTACCAGGGCTTAGGACTTCAACATATTTTGGGGAGGGACATGAGCAAACCCATAAAAGACAATATCATTTATGTGGTCTTCATGTCAAAAATGCATACCTGAGGGGCGCCTGGGTTGCTCAGTCGGTTAAGCGTCTGCCTTCAGTTCGGGTCATCATCTCAGGATCCTGGGATCAAGCCCCGCATCAGGCTCCCTGCTCAGTGGGGAGCCTGCTTCTCCCTCTCGCTCTCCCTTTGTGTGCGCTCTCTCTCTCAAATAAATAAATAAAATCTAAAGAAAAAATGCATACCTGAATGTACTTACGAGGAAACAGGACAACTCAAAAACTGAAGGATATTCTATAAAATAACTGGCCTGTAGTCTTCAAAAATGCCTACATAATGAAATGCAAAGAATTACATGAGAGCTATTTCAGATTAAAGTAGGTTAAACAGACATGACAACTGAATGCAACACATGATTTTGAATTTTCCTTAGCTATAAAGGACATTACTGGGACAATTAATGCAAATGGAATAATGCTTGTAGGGTAATAATATTGTATCAATGTGAATTTCTTGATTTTGATAATTCTCCTTTTTTCAATCAAAAAGGATGCTTTACTACGTTTCCTTGGATCTTTTTGCTACTAGAACCTCAGGGAAGCCTTTGCTGACCCTATAATCTCCAGTCCTGTCTCTTGCCTTGCTTTGCTCCAGAGCGGCGATCACTCAGTGATATATAACAGTTCATTTTGCTCATATCTGCAGAGGATATTTACATTTACCTCCACTTGATATCCAGAAAGGATCTTCTTGTATAGAAGAAGAAAAGACAAATCTAGGCAGCCTGAAAGAGGTAACCTAACCCCGCAGGATGGAAATCTGACATTTCTGTTCATTTGGTTTTCCAGAGACCATTCAACACCCTCCCCAGTCCACGCATCTACTCTGTGAACGGACTCCCTGCCCTGATGCTCTCTGTTCAAATGTTCTTTCAGTGTTGCAAGATTAGGTTACCACGTAACCTGAAAGGTCATAATGAGGGTTAAAACAATTTTATGTTAAATTGGTGACAAAACTCTCATCTTGGTATTTAACGTTTAGTTGACTCTCTGTTGCGTATTGCGTGCAATTTTTGCTGAAAGGAAGGTGAGACCAAACCCGAGCCCGACTAACCCACTCCCAATGGGGCCTTCAACTTCTGGGCGCCTCGGGACCCCGCCTTCTCGGGTCTCCCCTGCAGGTCCCGACACCCTCGCCGCCCGCCCCGCACCCCGCGTCCCTGCCCCCCAGGCATCCGCGGTCTCCGCGAGGACTGGGACGGCCGGTGTCCCAGAGCGGGAGACGGGGCTCGGGGGACGTCACGACGAGGGCGTGGCGTATGCAGAGGAGCAGGCGCGCAGAGGCTGCCGGGCCCGCCCCGCCCGGGCGCGCGGGTCCCGCGTGGGGCCCGGCGAAGGCGCCCGCGGGGTTGTGCGGGCGAGCGAGGTGGCGGCGGGGGTGGTGCGGGGCGCGGGGGTCTTGGGGGTCTTGGGGGCGGCGGGAGGGAAGTGACCGTGTGTAAGGAGCGCGGCGAGCGCGAGCGTGAGCGGCGAGGCAGGGCGAGCAAAGCATACTTACCTGGCAGGGGAGATACCATGATCAGGAAGGTGGTTTTCCCAGGGCGAGGCTTATCCATTGCACTCCGGATGTGCTGACCCCTGCGATTTCCCCAAATGTGGGAAACTCGACTGCATAATTTGTGGTAGTGGGGGACTGCGTTCGCGCTTTCCCCTGGTTTTTGTACTTGAATAACAGTTTTTTCTGCCCTCGTCGCTTTTTTCAAAAGTGTTCTTTAAAGTTTTTGGTATGTTTTTGCTATTATTTTGAGTGAGAGCTGTTTACATAGTTTTATGATACTTTACATAACGCCCGGGTTGCGGTTAGAAATCTTGGTACTTCTTTGTAAAACCTGTAAGTTTATAGCTTTTTACAGGTAAAAATGTTTCGTGTCAAAAACACGTGTTTTATGAGTGGGTGATAAGTAACCGTGTTTAGGGTGTTCCGTGTTTAAATGGAGCATTGCAAAATAGAGTTTGTGTGGCTGGATGGTTTATAATGGCTTGAACCACTCCGTTTCCCCCGCTCCCCCGCCAGTTTTTTTTTGTTTTATTCTATTTTATTTTTTCAGAGTGATCAGTTTGAGCTCAACTTCTGTAGTTTTGTTACAGTACATTAATATTGTATAAGCTTTTCCAAACTAGGTGCATTTTGCCCAGTCTATGAAGCTCACTGACTTGACCCTCTTTTTTTTCCCTTTCCTTTCAAAATTTTAATTCAATTAACATATAATGCATTATTGGTTTCAGAGGTATAGGTCTGTGCTTCATCAGTCTTAATACCCACTGCTCATGACATCACATGCTCTCCTTAATGTCCAACTTCCAGTTACCGCATTCATCAATCTCCCTCCCCTACAGCAACCCTGTTTGTTTCCTATGATTAAGAGTCTAATGGTTTGTCTCCCTCTCTGGTTTAGTTTTCTTTTTTCCTCTCTTCCCCTATGACCCTGTTTTCTTAAATTCCATATATCAGTGAGATCATGTAATTGTCTTTCTGATTGACTTACTTCACTAAGCATAAAACCCTCTAGTTCCATGTCCTTGCAAATGGCAAGATTTCATCTTTTTGATGGCTGCGTAATACTCCATGTATATATACACTTCTTTATCCATTCATCTGTCAATGGACATCGGGGCTCTTTCCATAGTTTGGCTATTGTGGACATTGTTCCTATAAACACTGGGGTGCAGGTGCCCCTTCGAATCACTACATTCGCATCTTTGGGGTAAATACCTAGTAGTGCAATTGCTGTGACCCACTTTCTTCTGCAATTTCCTTTCTTGCCATCTTCCACCCTCACCACATAAAACCCACAACCTTCATTCCCCTGGTTCCCACCCCACTGTTCACACCCTGGGTCATTCTCACTGCCTAGGTCGCTTTCTTCCTGTCAGAGCATAGTGTCCCCTGTAGGAAACCCTATAGCAGGGCTTTGTCTCTGCTCCCGGGTGTCCTCCTGTTTCTCCTTTGTGCCCCCAGGCATACGACAGCCAATAAATGTTAAATGAATGCCACAGCTCAAGAGCCGTGAAACCAAGGCTGGCTGGGTTTTTTTGTTTTTTTTAATCAGGAACTAGCAGTGAACTATGGAATATTTCAATTGTTCTGGAGGTACGAAGTAGAATCTCTCCTGAAGTAGGTCCTTGAGGGAATAATATACGTTCTTTATCTTAGTGTTTTATGAGAAGGCCCTTGCATAGTGTAGTCAACTCATTTATAGGTGTATTTATTAAGCACCCTCCCACACATGCTCTAATATGTAACTGCTGCTTCCAGTCTACCCCCGCCCACACACACACTGTAAAAATGTAAACCAGGGACCAAGGGATCTATGAAGCACTCTCCTACCCCTTTCCCCAAAAAGACCTTTTTGGTACAGATTAGCTGATGGCTATGTGGAACATTGTATATAGCTTTCTGCCCTGTACTTGCTATTTTGATTTTTTTAAAAAAAGACTTTGAGAGAGCGAGCGAGCATGAGCAGGGGGTGGGGAGAGGGAGAAGCAGGCTCCCCCGTTGAGCAGAGGGATCCAGGACCCTGGATCATGACCTGAGCTGAAGGCAGATGCTCAACCAACTGAGCCACCCAGGCGCCCTGTGTACTCACTATTTCTTAGCATTTACACAGCATCTTCACATTTCCAAAGCACTGTACCAATGTTTATTAATCCTCACAACACCCCTGTGAGGTAGGTCAATAGGTCCTTTGTAGTAGAGAAACTGAGGCAGAGAGAGGTCAAGCGAACCTGCCTGAGGCCACAAGGGCAGCCAGCGAAGGGACTGCACCAGAATCCAGAAGCTAGGGCTCTCTGGCCCATGTTCACCCACTGGAGAGCATCGCACGGGCATATTTTCACCAGGGAAGGAGACATGAAGGAGGACAAAACACAGAGATTTCTCAGGCAACAGAAAAATCAAGTTCGAATGGCATCAGGGAACAACATCAGTGAAAGAACATTAACCAGCACACCAGTAAGGCAAGAGAACATGCAAGGCCGGAATCATGGTGACTACCCTTAAGACCTAAACCAGGGTTTGGGAAAATTTAAACGAGGGGTGACCAACCCAAATGCTTGTGGTTTCCAACTGGAAGAGAAGTTAGTGAAAAAAATCAAACCACACAACCTAATTTTAAATTAGAAATGACCTGATGTTAATTTACATTAAAAAGACCAGTAATATTTGGAATTGACTACTGACAATTAGTATCCTTTTTGTACCCTTTTTAGTCCAAATATTCTAATTTTTCCCCCACCGACAAATGCTGTTCCCTATATACTCTTTCTCTCTACATACCAATTTATACACTAGTATAACGATCAAGTGGGCTCAATGGCACGTCTCACGGTTCCTTGGCTGAGCTAGAGATAGAATTCAGGAAACCATAACAGACTGTTCTGTCTGCTCCTGTGTTTTAGAAATGGCTGTTTCTAACTTGCCTCTGCTCAATTCCACCTTCTATAAAAGGCTAAAAGCACACAGAGAAGCAGTTCATCCTTTTGTAAAGGGACTGGTGAACTTCATTCAATATGCCATTTAAAAAAAGAAAAAGGAAAAACTAAGACCTGCACTGTAAAGCAGAATAAAGGAGTAGATTTATTATAGCTACTCCAAATTTTAGAGTGATACAATGACCACAGAGTTAAAAACTATCACTGTTATCACTTTATTTGATAATAGTTGGTTTAGTCTACAAGTTTAAGGCAAACATACTAATGCATTTGCTTTTCATCAGAAATCATACTTACAAAGATTACATAAAATCTGTCCCAAAACTTCTAAGAAATGTTCATTAATTAAAAATAAGTCCGATTAAGATGCTTTACCAGGATACATGAATGAACTAAGGTGGTATACAATGTTTTTTAAAAACAAAATTCAAAAAAAGGTAAGGGCAATCTTTATCTTGTTTGAACAATGTGTTTTTAAAAGGGTTAAACTTCAGAGAGTACTTAAAAGTAAGACTGGCAGCCAGAAGGAATACTATTCATAAAATAAACACAGTTACAGAGGCTACTTAAAACAAGCCTGAACTTGGGGCTTCGGGAGAGGAGGCACGCACGGCGAGGGCCGACGGCCACAAGGGGCGCACAGGTGCGGGGGCGCGGCGTCCCACCACGCACGCTGGCAGAGCCCAGGGACAGCGCCGCTCCGTGGTTTCTCGGAAAAAAGGAGAGTAGATGCACTTTGACGGCTGTTTCTTTTGTTTCCAGTGAGCAGTAAATGCTTAATACCATTAAGAAAACAAAAATAAAATCTGAAGGAAGGCAGCCCTTTTTAACTGTAGGTGGAGTGTGGCTTATGTGTCTCCGTTGAACACCGCCAAGCAGTTCTGCAGCAACTGTAGGTTACCCTAAAAAGAAAGGGAGAATAAACGGTGACGCTCAGAGAGCTTGGAAGAACTGTACTGAAAATATACAGCACTAGAAAGCACGTAACTTTAAATTTATTAAGACAACAGAATTTGGGTAACAGCTACTCATTATACAGAAATAACTGTTTAGAGACAAAATTATATACTTTGTTTCATGTACAGTATTTTCCACATATCAGAATTCTTCAGGAAATTTCCACCTAGACCACTATTACTGTTTGGAATTACCTGGCATGATCTAATGAGAGAGAAAATATGCTCTTTGTGTCCAAGTTAAACTACTGAACATTTTTTTTTAAAGATTTATTTATTTTGAGAGAGAGAGAGCAGGGGGAGAGGGAGAGAGAATATCAAGCACACTCCCCGCTGAGTGCAGAGCCCCACACGGGGCTCAATCCCATGACCTGAGATCATAACCTGAGCCAAAATCAAGAGCCAGACGTCCAACCCACTGAGCCACCCAGGGGCCCCTGAACATTTCTGACTGTAAGCCATTAAAATATGTGTATTATATTACATGATTATATAATATATAACATATAATGTATATTTTAATGACTAAACTGATACGTTATAGCAATTTTTATAAAAAAATAATAAGAGGGGCACCTGGGTGGCTCAGTTAAGTGACCAACTCCTGATTTCGGCTCAGGTCGTGATCTCACGATTATGAGATCAAGCCCCGCATCAGGCTCATGCTGGGTGGGGAGTCGGCTTGAGATTCTCGCTCTTCCTTTCCCTCTGCCCTTCCCCACCTTCATGATCTCTCTCTCTCTCAAAAAAAAAAAAAAAAAAAAAGGTAAGTAATAAGATCACATACAAAAGTATTCTATAAAATGCAGACCTGGGGGTGCCTGGGTAGCTCAGTCGGTTAAGCAGCTGCCTTCAGCTCAGGTCATGATCCCAGGGTCCTGGGATCGAGCCCCGCATCGGGGTCCCTGCTCAGTGGAGAGCCTGCTTCTCCCTCTCCCTGCCGCTCTGCCTACTTGTGCTATCTCTCTGTCAAATAAATAAATAAATAAAAATCTTAAAAAAAAATAAAATAAAATGCAGACCTGTGTAGCCATCTGTAAAACATGTGAACTGGCCTCCAAATTCAGATATGTGTAAAGACAAATATAAGCATATAGGTCACAACTATTTATTTATTAAGATTTTATTTCTTTATTTGACAGAGAGAGACACAGCGAGAGAGGGAACACAAACAGGAGGAGTGGGAGAGGGAGAAGCAGGCTCTGGCCGAGCAGGGAGCCCGATGCAGAGCTCGATCCCAGGACCCCGGGACCGTGACCTGAGCCGAAGGCAGATGCTTCAACAACTGAGCCACCCAGGCACCCCGGTTACCACGATTTATAAATGGGGGTGAAGGAAAACTTCTTCCTTAGAGTAGAAAGCCAACTAAAATGTATACAATGATGGAATTAGAAAATGACCATTTGGCAACCATCACAATAACTGACTCAGGGAAGTCATAACTGGATGCTAAAAACAATATAATGCTGAAATGCTAATACTATGGTCATTAGGTACATGTAGCTACAGAACATTTAAATTTGTTAATTGAAATTAAATAAAAACTCGGTTTGAGTTTCTCGGTTGCACTACCCACATTTCAAGTGTTTGGCAGCCACATGTGGCTAGTGACCACCATACTGGACAGTGCTGATTATAGAGTATTTCCATTATCACACAAAATTCTGTGGGACAGTGCTGGTTAAGTGCTGGGTATTTAATTGACATAGTCCCAAGTATCTCCCCACAGAATACTTAATTTCAAAGTGTAAAATAATAACTTTGCCACTGAGAAACCTGTAGACATCACTTTATTTTTTCTCTAAAGATTTTATTTATTTATTTGACAGAGAGAGACACAGCGAGAGAGGGAACACAAGCAGGAGGGGGTGGGAGAGGGAGAAGCAGGCTTCCC